CACGCCGGATCCCCGGAGTGATTGAGCATCTGTGTTTCATCCTAGCACGACCGTGCTTGATCATGTGCGAGTGCGCTTGATAAACATGCCGCATACCGAGTCATTGACATTAGAATCGGACTGCTATGTTCCATTAGAGCGTTCTTGCGCCCAGGTGTGACGCGTACTTTCTTCGAGACTCGTTGGGAGCTCTGGAGTGATGCTGGAACTGCGTAGCGACTTTGTTGTGAGCAAGTGGTGACCGTGTCCTCTTGCTGCTTTCATGATTTGAATAGCTCCTTCACCAGCGTTGTCCCAGGTCTCTGATGCTCGACGAGAGCGGGAGGCGCACCCAAAAGGCAGCATTAGGCCGATGAGCTTGTTCTCACACTTGATGTGATGCGGTTGCCCTCTCAAGCATCTTGCTGCGCATGACGCGTCGTCCATTCAACCCGGACACTGGGTAGTAGGATTGGGGGGAAGAACGAGTGAGATCATTCGCTTCGCTGGATCTAGGACGTGATCGGACAGGAATAAAAATCCTTATTTCTGTATTCACGATCCATGGCTGACCACGCTCCCTTGAGAGTGCGTGCCGTGCCGCTCCGGCGCAATGAGTCGTACTTCTTGAGGCAGGTGGCAATCGACAGGCCAGGAGGCACCGTTCAGCTCGACGACCTGAGGGCCCTCAGACACGAGCTAGATGAGCACCTTCGCATGCAGCTGTACTTCACGATCAAGATGAAGTTCCAGCTTGAAGCTATTCTCCCAGATGCTGATCTGGACGCTGATGGCAACGTGGTGCCCCTCGAATCGCGTGAGAGCTATTTGCTCTCACCTGCTCCTTGGGTGGTCGCGCCGGATGCTGACATCGAGAGGCGACTCACCAGCATCGTGGAGACTGCGCGGGAGAAGTTGGAGCAACACATGGAGGCTGCAGCCCTACGTGGGAGTGGTGATCTCATCGGAGGGATCCTTCAGGTCTACATCCTCGTCTCTCCCGGCGCCGAGATGGCTCGCCTTCCTCCTGCGCCTGCTGTGGGGAACCAGCCAGTTGGCACCTTTGTGAGGCTTCCTCCGGAGTTGGAGCGCAAGAAGTGCTTTTGGAATCCACAGACCACAGACCACAGCTGCTTCGCATGGTGCATTAGGGCGGCCTTGCTTGGCGTGGAGAATCTTGACCGTGAAAAGCGACGGTGCCTGGCCCGTCTTACCGACTCCATGCTCTTCCAGGAAGGGTACGCGCCGGTCCCTGGGCAACACAAAAAGCATCGAGCCGAGGTGGTCCCGCGCAACTTCGGGTTCGACTTCTCCTGCTTGCCAGCTGGGGATAGGGGAGTGACCTGGAGCGACATAGAGGAGTTCGAGCGCATCAATGGGCACCGTCTTCGTATCTTCGTGTGGGAGTGGCGCAAAGTGGAGTGGCGACAGCAGACCGTCTACGAGACCGTCTTTGAGAGGGTGATTGTCAGGGAGCCCAAGCTGATGAACCATCCCTTCGAGAAGGAGATCCATCTCCTTCGTCATGAGAATCACTTCTTCTACATCTGGAACTACAATGCCTTCATGAGCAACCAAGGCGCGCGCTTGGAGGGCACGCAGCGGGCTCACCACCACACCCTGCATGTATGCCCCTGCTGCCGAGCAGGGTTCCGAAACGAAAGGAGCCTGGAGCTTCACCGCCAGACGCCTTGCAGTTTCGACCCCTCCAAGCGGGGGTCGGCGCTGAGGATGCCGACCAAGAGTTTCGAGGAGGTGGTGTTCTACAATCCTGGACCCTCCGCAGAGCTCGCTCCCTTGGTGATGTACGCCGACCTCGAGGTTGAGTCACAGCCAGCTCCTACAGAGCAAGTTGCCCAGCACACAGTCTGCTTGCAGGAGAATGTGCTCTCGGCTGCCTATGCGGCGGTGGGGCGCAACGGTTACGTACCGAAGAAGCAAGTGTTTCTGACGACCCGGGAGGTTGGAGAGCACCGTTTCGCAGCTGTGGAGCGCATGCTGACCGAGATGCGTCGAGAGGGGGAGCAATACTTGCTGTGGAAGAAGCGCACAAACGTTCCACCCTGTCTTACTGCGGAGGAACGGCGGACCTTCGACGAGGCTGACCAGTGCTCCACGTGCAAGATCTTCTTTGAGGATGGGCATGAGGATCGACAGAAAGTGCGTCATCATGAACATGGTACCGGTCGCTTCCTAGGACCGTTATGCAGGCGTTGCAATGGAAAAATAGTGCAACCAAGAACGATTCCGGTGATGCTGCATAACGGAGGGTGTTACGACTTTCGTTTTATCCTGCGGTGCTTGGCGTGGATGCGGCGTAGAAGCCAAGCCGAAGAGAAAGCGAACGAAGCGAAAGCGAACTTGCAGAACCTTGAGCAGCTCGCCGACGATGAGCTCTACGACCATCTCGAGAGCTCCAGCGACTATCTCGAGAGCTCCAGCGATGACGAGTCCGAGGACGAGGTGGAGGAGACGATGGAGGCCAAGCCGTGGCACAAGCTCAAACTCTCCGTGTTGTTCAAGACCGGAGAGAAGATGCTATCCTTCCGCATCGGGCGCCTCTGCTTTATCGACTCTATGAACTTCTACAAGGCCAGCTTGGGCTCTCTGATGGACGATCTGAAGAAGACGAACCCAGACAACCCTTCCCAAGTCTTTCGTCTGATGAGCGAGATTCATCCAGAGCTTCAGGAGGCTGCCTTGACAGAAGACCGGTGTCGTAGGTTACACCAGTACTTCGCGCCGGAGCGGAGCTTCGAGGAGATCGACAAGGAGCAGTTCTCGAGATGGACCTGGGAGCTTTTGCTTCGGAAACTGCCTATGCCATTTGAGCGGATGTGCGGCCCGGAAATCTGGCAGCTCCCACCCGTGTGGCACATCGATGCTTACAGATCGTCCTTGAACGGCGACAAAGAGGAGGACCTTCGCAACAAGCACAAGCTGCTCCGCGAGACGTGCGAAGTCTTGGGGTTCGAGGACTTCAGACGAGTACACAACACCTACCTCTTCATGGACTTGTGCCTTGCGGATGTCATGGAGACGTTCAGGTCGGTGTTCCACGCACGCTTCGGTCTTGATCCGGCTCAGTTCGTCTCGCTCCCCTCAGCGGCCTACGAGGCCATGCTTCGCGGGTGTCTGACGCGCAAGCGCGTGCGGCGAGTGACCAGCCTAAAAATCTACGAGTGCCTCCGCGATGTCATGATGGGTGGGCTCTCGGCCATCTTCACCCCTCATCGACGTGCAAACTCCCCGGAGTTGGGTGATCACTACGACCCCGAGAAGCCGCATAGCTACTTCTTGACCCTGGATGTATCATCGATGTACCCGGCAATCATGTGCGAACCCATGCCGGTTGATGGAGGCGTGTTTGTGCACTTGCCTGACAGCGGGCTGGATCGCATCAAGTGGGCATACAAGACCTTGAGCGGAATCGACTACATGGGAAGCAAGGAGAAGCAGAGCTTCCTCTTTGTCGTTGATTATTCCTTCCCGTTGGAGAAGCATGATCAAATCGACTGGCCTCCACCATGCCGCATGTCTGTCTCAAAAGACCAGCTTTCCCCATTCACCCAAGAGCTCATGGCAAAGAACGGTCTACGGTGCAGCAAGGTGCCAAAATTAGTCCCCTTCTTAGGAGCCCACAAGGCGGAAGGGGTGGATGGAAAACGATTGGCCTTTCTTGTGTCAGTCTTGGGAGCACGACTCGACAAGGTCCATCGCGTCATCAAATTCAGATGCGAACCTTTTCTCGCCAGTTGGATCAAGAGCTGCTACAGTGATCGCTTGGAGCTGAAACGACAGGGTCGAGGGGTCGAGGCCGAAATGCTCAAATTGGTGATGAATTCCATGTATGGGAAGCTGGTTCAGCGCTGCGAACAGTGCCGCTGCAGCAAGGTCTTCACTGACGGGGCCAAGTTTGTTCGCGCCGCCAACGGCCACCGCATGTGCGACTTAGACTGGTTCGGGGAGGACGAAGACTTCATGGGCGTGGTGCAGGACCTTGGCAGGGTCGTCGTCCAGAAGAGCTTGGTTCAGACTGGACATCGGGTTTTGGAACTCTCCAGACTCATGATGATGAAGTACCATTATCTCGGAGTCAAGAAGCTGTTCCCACAGGCACTGCCCATGTCGACTGACACCGACTCTGCCGCGTACTACATCGAATGCGCTGAGGATCCCATGCACGCGATGGCTGCTGCTAACGAGACAGGTGGGTTCCCCTGTTACTTCGACTTGGCCAAGGACCTGGTGGGGAAGAAGGACGCAGCCCTGTCGTTGCAGCACCTGACACCTCGTCAACAGGAAATCGCCTTCGCCAGGGCTGGTGAGCTCGGGGGCTTTGGGATGGAATACCTGCCGGTCAGGATCGTTGAGCAGGTCGGACTTCGCGCCAAGTTGTACTCGATCCTGTTCTCGGATCCGCTCAAGGGCAAGCGCAGCAAGCAGCGGGCCAAAGGCGTGATGAAAAGGGTCATGCCCGGGCACGAGGACTACGTGGAATGCATGAACACCGGCTACGAAAGCTCTGTGGACTTCACTCAAATGGTCTCCCACCACTTCCACATGGCGGTGGAGCGACGACGAAAGAAAGCACTTTCTCCCTTCAACGACAAGGTCTACCAGCTGGACTCAGAAAGTGCTCGTCCCTTGGGGCACTGGCGTAACAGCCAATGCCTCACTGCCTTAGTTAATGCCTTGGATCCTGCTGGGACGCCGTTCCAGCTCATTATGATGTATTTGCAAGGTCGGGCAGACTTTGAGCCCGTGCATGCGTAGCTTCTTCCGCGGTCAGGCTAGCTTGCCTTTTTCCGCGTCGCTGTGTTCCTTTTGCACAGTCAACACAGCTTTTAGCCCGCTTCGCAAACAACGCGATGAGCGGTACAGACGGTACAGAGGCCACAGCTCCGTTCCTGTTGTTAGGTTGGACAATGGGAGGTGGCAGTCGGCACCGAACCAGCTGCAGTACAGCTAGCTGATGCAAAACCTGCCTGCTTGCTCCTTTCTTGTTCATGCGGATTTTTTCATGGAAGTGGTGCTGGACCTGGTGCAAGACGTACTTCCCTAGCTGCTCGGAGGTTCCGCGCTTCTCTGGAGTCTAATGCCGGTCTCCCTTCTGCCACCGCCTTGCGCAGGTCGCGGCTCACCATCTTGCTTCCAGGCCATCCCTGCAGCGTGAAGAGAGGTCCCATGTCAGTGTATTCGATTTGCGAGATGACGTAGGTTTGTTCGCTCCAGGCTGTTTCAGTGACCCTGTAGGCTCCCCGACCCTCCCGAGGTTTTACCCGAACTCTAACCCTATCGCCCACAGCCAGCTGCTGACGAGGTGGTGCTCCTCGCTTGGCCTGGGCGATCATCGTCTGCCTGGCACGCTCTGCTTGTGCGGGATTTGTGTAAGCTTGGTTCGGCGTCACTCCCGTGCCGGCGTGTGCCCTGTTGTTGTACTGCGCCAGGACATCGGGAAGCAGCTGGTACCACCTGTTCCTGGCAGCCAGGCCTGCTGAGATCCTGCGAACGAGTGCTTCCTTGAGAGTCCTGATTGCCCGCTCGACAAAGTAGGCGTGTCCTCTTGATACCACCTTGTCGATGTCAAAATAATCGAGTTTCTGCTTGAACTCAGCCTTGAATTCTGTACCATCGTCTGTGTAGACGTAGGAAGGGATTCCCAAGTCTCGGATTATTTGTCGCCAGGCTGTCGCTGCAGCTGGAGCGGTCTTGGAAGCTAGGGGTACTGCGGAGGCTTTTTTGGTGAAGGTGTCGGCCGCCACCATCATGTAACGGTAGGGCGTCGAGGAGAAAACAGACATGTCTGCCAGATCCACTTGAAGTTGGTGCAGGGGTTCAGTTGGAACGAAGCTGTTGTACCCTCGCTGAGGCCTGTCCTCTCTAGCTTTGACTCCCTCCATGAAGCGAGATACATCGGCCCTGGTGATTGTCGGATCTTGACGTCGTGCCTGCTTTAGCGTGTCGGCGATGCTGCCGAAGCCATGTCTAGGGTCTTCGTAATTTCTCTTGAGCAGTGCCTCTCTCGCAGCTGCCATTTTTTGTTACTGCGAGGTTTCTTGTGGAAGCCTGGACGAACATAGATAGTGGTGGCGAGGTGTGCGAGGTGTGCGAAGCGACGCGGCCATCGCGCGTGTGGTGACCGTGTTGTGACCGTGTTGTGACCGTGTTGTGACCGCGTTGTGACTGCGTTGTGACCGTAGTGACTGTGTAGTGACCGTAGTGACTGTGTAGTGACCGTAGTGACCACGTAGTGACCGCATCGTGACCGCGTAGTGACCGCGTAGTGACCGCGTAGTGACCGCGTAGTGACCGCGTAGTGACCGTGTTGTGACCGTGTTGTGACCGTGTTGTGACCGTGTGTTGTGACCGCGTTATGACTGCGTTGTGACCGCGTTGTGACCGTGTTGTGACCGTGTGTTGTGACCGTGTTGTGACCGCGTCGTGACTGCGTAGTGACCGCGTAGTGACCGCGTAGTGTCGCTTAACCGCCTTAGCCTCGCGCTCTTCATCGCGCTCTTGATTGCGCTTCTCTTTCTTCTGCGCCTTGCGATTCTTTCTCTCCTCCGCCATCGTATCGTTCTTCTTCATCATCTTGCGCTCCTCCTTCTCGCGCTTCTTCTCCTCCATCTCGCGATTCTTCTCGCTCTTACTCTCCTCGCGCTCGCGCTGCTGCTCAGGAGTCGCGCCCGTGCCACCTGACTGTCGTGGTGTCCGAGCTCGAGACGCGCACAAGGCCTCAAGTCTTGCGAAGCCCACGGACATGGCGTCCAAGAGGACATCCCGGTTCTTGTCGCCGTTGTTGCAAATCTCCAAAGTCGACGCAGCGCTCGAAGCTTCAACTTGCTGGATCACGCGGTTGGCCTCGCCCGCAGCGACACTTTGAAGCATCTCGCGTTCCCGCTTTCTCGCCAGCTGCTCCTCTCTCTGGCGCTTCATCAAAACTTGCTCCTGGATCTTCAGATTCTCGATCTGCGACTCGGACAAGGGAACGCCGCGCATGGTGGTTTTCCACTTGATCTGGAAACGAACATCTCCAAGCAATTTCTTCACTTTCGTTTTCCCCTCAACGGGTGCGGTCATCTCAACGGGCGTGGTCATCTCAACGGGTGTGGTCCCCTCAACGGGTGTGGTCATCTCATCGGGCGTGGTCATCTCAACGGGCGTGGTCCCCTCAACGGGCGCGGTCATCTCAACGGGCGTGGTCATCTGAACGGCTCTAGATCCTAGGCGCGACCTCCTAGAGGATGACACTCAGCTTCGAATTTGGAGCTTTAAATGGCTTCAAAAAGATACGTGCGCGTTGTGCCGCTTGTCCCGACCAGGCAGAGAGTCCGTGCACATCTCAGGCTCAATTCTCCGAGGCCGCGACGATTGTCGCCAGCTCCAGAAGATCGGATCAGAACCTCGGAAGGGTCACTACAAGGTCACCACAGGTCACCACACGGTCACTACACCACGAGGCTAAGGGCTCGCTACACGCTCAAAAGAGTTCCTGCATGCTAGCTGAAGTTCAATCTCAGTTGAGCACTCAACCTGTCTGTAGAAGTAGGCGTTGGGCCTGTGCGCAGACGCAGGCGGCGGCAAATCCGAAACTATTTAGTCACGTCGAGGCTTTGCTAGAAATGCAGACGCTCTCACAGCTTTCTGAGCTTTTAAATCAAGCCACCGCAGGCGTGCCAGAACTCTTGGGCCCGCACGCTCAAAGACTGGAATCCGGCCTGGTCACTACAGGGTCACCACAAGGTCACCACAAGGTCACTACGCCCACAAGCGCTCCCAAGCTCAAGCTCCTATGCACTGCAAGGTTCGGCTCAAACTCCACTCAAGAAACCTGGCGAAAGCCTTAAAATCCCTTAACAAGCATCTGAGGTTGTGCGCTTTGAAGATGATGAAGACGGCGATGACCTGGGAAGCAGAAGAAGCGAGGTGTAGTGCGAACGAGCGCGAAGTCTAACAGCAAACCGTCACTACCCAATAAACACCTATCAAGTTACGCAGCGTCCACTTACCCTTCAACAGCTGCCTTTTGCCGTCGGCTGGTTCATCTGAGCAGGAACGCTCTCTGGCAATCCCGCAACACTCACTGACGGCGGTCTGGCTTCATCATGTCAGCCAATGCTCGGCTCAGATCTAGTGGCTCAGCGACAATGCCCAACTTCCGACTGTAGTGAGCACCCAGGTCGCGGAGCAAGTACACCTCGCCGGTGTATTCAGTATCATTCCACAAGCGAAGCACAACCAAGCCTGGCGGCTCGTGCACTTGCTCGCTCAGCCTACCATACAACAATGATTGTGACACTTCTGGAAAAGATACATTGAGAGGGAACTCCAGCGAGATGTTTTCGTGGGCAGCAAAAGCCTGCCACATCAGCGGGTTGTTCGCCAAAAACTTGTTGATGCCGCTGTTACTGTAAGGGATGGATGATAGACGCGTTGTTTGCGCAAATGCCGCAAAATCCCTGAACATCTTCTCCAACCAGAATTTTGAACTCACTGACAAGTATTTGAGCTGGAGCAATCTATATTTGGTAGCAGCCTCCTCCAGAGCAGCCTCTGCGTCCCTCTCGGCAAGCATCTCCCTCTGGGCAAGCTCCACGGCAACTCGTGTGACGTTCGCATCATACCCGTTTACATTGAGCACACTTTGCGCCATTGTCACAAACCTGTCGACACAAGCAGCGTTGCGGCTCTGCAGCTTGTAGCGTCTGACATGCGTCTTCATCCCCACGAAAGCGTGGAACTCCACGAGCGCCACCACACAGACACTGGCAAAGGAACGACGCACCATGTTCCGCAACCTGTACATTGACAGCGCGCTGTTGGCAAGAGATGCCTACGGATCACAGTGTGAGCAAGCCCTTCTCAATTGGGCAAAGAGCCACGGAAACTGGCACTTGCCAAATGGCGCGCCTTCATAATGACGTAGCTGATGTAGAGGAAGCACGCAAGCACTCTGAGGTTCCAGCGAAACGCCAAATTTGCTTCCCACCCGCCCCTACAGATGCCGCGTCTACAACATCGCCGTGCTCACTCAATGTTGCTGCGTGTTGCAAGCTGCCTACCGTGAAGTGTTGTTGCCAGAGACCTGTTGAACCGCGGCGCGGAGAAACACAACTTCAACTCAAGCAGTGCTGGGACGTGGGAAGGGGCCCTACGGGTTAGGGAAGTGCAAAACGTTCGCAAGGCTGGTGGCGATCAAGCCTACTGCAGGGTCGAGGGGTTCGGGTGCCCTGAACCAATCTAAAAAGAAGCGGGCAAACGCACTCTAGCAAAATGTTACTGCAACAGTCGGCGGACCTAGCTAGAATACCACTACAAATCAAAAAGAAATGGCATCAGTGAGTAAAGGCGAGCAGCACCGAGCATCTGGTGAGACTGCGTCCTAAACCCCCACGGATCAGGTCGGCGACAGCCACAGGCTCGCCGCGAGTTGACACTGAACACCCGAGGCCACGAATCCTTGAGGCAACCCTAAGGGACGTATCCGCCGAAATCGCGCTCTCGCCACAGTCGGGTGTGAAACGGCCCGGCAAAGCCTTTCGGACCATGCGCGGGCCTTCTCGAGGCTGGCTGTGTCGCTTTGGGCCGGCGGGCTCGGCGGGTGAAACATAGGCAGGACGCGCCCCGAAGATCGGGACCGAGGCGGTTCCGTGATGGCCGGCGATTCCGCGTGGCTGTGTTCGACCCATCCTAAACCCTCACCGACCACGTTCCGTGGCTGGCCGGCACCGATCTGACAGGAAAGGCCGTCTTGGCCAAAATCGTGCTCAAACCCAAGGCGGAGGACGCTCCGAATTCGAGCTCTCGCCTGTGCGTGGTCGGCTCGCAAAACGACCGGCTGTCGAGGGCCGTTCGGGCGCACCCTCCCCGAGCGACTTCAGAATGCGAAAAAATCGGGGTGCGGCATGGTGTTTAGGGCCAATCCTGGTTTTTTCGCGCAGAATCAGGCAGAGGCAAGATTCGAAAACGGACACCGTTGGCTGCTCGGCTCCTTCAGCATGAGATCGGTAACTTCGACCAAGAGTCCGCATTGCGCCGTCATCAGCCAGACCTGTCGCAGTTCGCACCTCACCTTGCATTCCCGACCGGTGAGGTCGCCTGGGTCCTCGAGCTTCTCGCCCTTCGGACCCCAGATCCGCACCCTATCCCAGTCCATCTTGGTCTTCAGAAAAGCTTCGCAGCGAGCGTTCGTCTTCAAGCATGAGAGGAAGCGGTCCTTGACTTCCGTTTCCGTAAGAACCTTGCCGAAAAGCCTGCTATCCTTTATCGACAGCGCCGCCAGGCTGCGGACGAGGTGTTCCTCGACCCCGCGGAAGAGCGTTTTAACGCCCTCGTCGGCTTCGAGGCTGAGCGACACCCGACGAGCGTCGGGATCCTTGAACCCGCTCGGGTGCCAGAGGATCTTGAGCCACTCGGCGGACGACCACTCAGGCGCGCGTACGCCCGCGCCGCGCAAAGGGAAGAACTTCCCTCCCTTCTTGTTGAAGGACAGATCGCCGAGCTCAACTGCCAGGGCTGGCTTACCGCTCATGCTTCTTTTTTCTCCCGAATAAAAAAATGTCGTTCGCTGAACGAGTCGCGACGCCTGCGGCTTCGGGAGAGTGCCTCTGCGCGCTGATCGCACTGTTCGGTGTCATCGTGACGATGTGGCTTTTCTCGTCGCCCTGGGAAAAACATGAGACTGCTGGAGTTGTTCTCCGGCAAGAAGAGCATCGGCCGTGCCTTCGAGGCCATTGGTTGGCAGGTAACGAGTCTTGACTCCGACCCGCACAGCCACCCCACCATCTGCGAGGACATTCTGGAATGGGATTACAGGACCTTCCAGCCCGGACACTTCGACCTCGTCTGGGCCAGCCCCGTGTGCACCGAGTTCTCTCGAGCGATGACACGTCGACCCCGTCGCTTGGAGGAGGGCGACCGCTTGGTGCTCCGAACCATCGAGATCATAGGGTACCTCCGCCCGCGGTGGTGGGCCATCGAAAACCCCAGGAGCGGGCTGCTCAAGAGTCGCAGCTACATGAAAGGCCTGCCCTTCGATGACGTGACCTACTGCCAGTACGCCTTTCGCTATCGGAAAGCGACCCGCATCTGGAACAATCTGCCCTGGCACCCCAGTCGACCCGTGTGCTGCAGGAGTCGCCGTTGCGAGGCCTTCAACAACGGCCGCCACATCGAGACGGCGCAACGCCAGGGCGGCAGAGTACGAATCGGCCAGAGCCGGGACCAACTCTACTCCATCCCGCCTCTGCTGTGCGAGGAGATCGCTGCGAGTGTAAATGAGCCTCTACGAGTGCTACAAAGCACTGTGGAGTAAAGATGGGCAAAATCAAGGTGTTCAAAACACCCGATTACCGAATCAAACAGCCGCGGGATCCAATCGTCCCCCGCGTGCCGTGCACTGGCATGCTGCTCGGACCCTCGAAATCGGGCAAAACAGTGGCGTTGATCAGCTTGCTGCTGGACCAGTACCGCACGGCCAGCGGTGAATCCGTTTGGGAAAGACTGTACTGTTTTTCGCCTTCGGTGTTTATTGATGATGCCTGGAAGCCTGTGATCAAGTTCATCGACGTTAATACGCAGCGTGAAAAAGTGCTCTTCGACACCTGGGACGAGGGAGCCCTCAGGACCATCATCGAGCAGCAACGCAAAATCACCAAGACCTCGAAGGACATGGGACTCAAGAAGCTGTATGGTGTTGCCGTAATAGTCGACGACTTCAGCGACCAGCCTGAGCTCCACAAGAAGAACGGGGAGGGCGCACTGGACACCCTGCTGTGCCGGGGGAGGCACCTCCAAATCAGCACCATCCTATCGTGCCAGAAGCTCCGCGTGGTGAGCAACTGCATTCGGGTCAACCTTCAATTCATGTGCATCTGGCGCCTCCGCAACGCTCTGGAGATTCAGGCTGTCATCGAAGAGCTCAGCGCTCTCCTGCCCAAGGAAGAGCTCCACGCCATGTACCAGGAAGCCACCCGCGAGCCCTACTCCTTTTGGTTCATCTATTTCCTGAAGCCAAAAAGCGAGATGTTCTACAAGCGCTTCGAAGAACGCTTCGTGATCGAAAATGGGGACCATCCTGAGCCAAGTGGCGGGCAAGCTCCTCGGGGGCGGCCCGCTCTGCGACAGTGAGTGCAAGAACATCCACTGCTGCACCAGCACCCAGCGCGTGGTCGACCCACGCTGGCCCTACCCCGAGCGGGCCCGGCAGATCAGCGACTCCACGGCCTCCGAGAAGTCGACGGGGCGGAGCTTCTTCCGCCGTACAAGAAAGAGGATGAGCTGTACAATTTACGTGGATAGCCGCAAGCGCACCGCGGGTGACGACAGCAGCTTCGAGTTTGACATCGGGGAGACCATCCACCTGCAGACGGGCGCCAGGCTCTCGGTGCTAAAGTTCCGTGTGGCTGATGCCTTTCTCTCCACGGACCGCGGCTTCTACATGTACTGGATCGACGAGGCCCTGCAGACCCTCAACTGGGCGGTGCTCCCGGTGGGCGCCTACACAGGGGCACGCCTGGCCGCCTGGATCAGCAGCAACTATGGCTCTGCGACTTACGTGGAGCAAACCAACGAAATCGGAGTGGCCTACGACGGGAACAGGAGCATCTTGAACGATGCCGAGATCCGGAGCCTCTTTCCCGGCTCCGGTTCCTATCCCGCGGGCGCCACGCCCAGCCGGCCGCTTTCGATTAACCACCTCCTGGGTCCCAGCTTCATCGACGGAGCGCTGCAAATCTTCACGTTTGTGACCATGAATCCGTACTCAGAGTTGCTGCTCAGATGCAGCACCCTCGCCACAGCCGCCGACATCAAGGGGCCTTTGGGTAACGATATCATCTGCAAAATGATTATCGACAAAGGCATCGGAAACATTATGCAAACGAGAACGGACGAGGGTCATTTCGTGAGACTCCACGGCCCCATTACCTTGCGCACCCTCCGCTTTAAGCTCACCGACGTCGACGGACATGTGGTAAACACCCGTGGCACCTCCGTTTCCTTCGCGATTTTCCTCGACTATGAAACTTAAATGTTTAATGAAGTAAAATGGCGGAGGAAAATGAGGTCGTTGTGGAGGAAACTCCTCAGGAGCCTCCAGCGACTGAGACCCCAGAGCCTGCTGAGGAGCCTGCTCCGGCCCCCGTGCCCCGAGACGCCAGCAACCCCAGCCAAAGCGACGAGGGCGTCCGCCCGGAAGCAAAAACAAACCCAAGCCGCCGAAAACGGTCCCGGTTGAGGAGGTCGCAGCACCAGCTCCCGAGCCCTCGCACGCTCCGCAGGCTCCAAAGGCTCCAGCCAATCCCGAGCCTGCCCCTGAGCCCCCGCAGGCTGCCCCGCCAGTGGAGCCTGTGAGGATGACGCCCGCCCAGGAGCGGGCTCTAAGGTACATGGAGACAAGATAGATACATGCAGCTTCTTGCCCGAAACACTCTGGAACTGTAAAGAAGATGATAGAACCTCGAGCGGCGCAACGAGCCTCAGATGCTGCGCCAGTTCCACAAGATGTACCCGAGCTACAACCTCAATCCTCTGATGCGCCGGCGGCACCAGCAGCTCGTCGAGGCCCAGGCCTTCAACGAGTGGCTCTCGAACCGCCGCCTCCGCCAGGAGGGCGAGACCTACGCCGACGAGCTCGGCAGGATGACGGAGGCCGTGAACCGACGGATCCCCCAGCTCCGCTACGCTCCGGCGGAGCGCGCGGGCATCCAACGCATGGCGCGGGACGTGGCCGCCGGCAGGAACACCAGTGACTCCCAGGTCTACGGGGGGATGCTGTAAGTAAATGGAGGAGCGCAGAAGCAACGGCTTCCGCGTGAAGCCCAGCTTCGGCCAGGTCCTCGGCTACATAGCTGAGGGCGAGCCCCTCGTCATCCCCCTACCCAACCGCAAGGCGAGCATCTACACATCCAGCCACTCTACCTGGACGATTACCCCAATGCCCCCGAGCCCATCAGCGATGCACCGATGCCCCACACCCAGCTGAACCCAGCGGCTGCTTTTGAAACAGCCAACGAGGGTTACGACGGGGTTCCCTTCCCTCGCCCGCCCAGAGAGTTCACTCGCCCATCTTTTCTACCCGACTCCGATGACGGAGGCATGGACCCAGGCCAGGCCCTGCGCAACGACGGTCTGAACCCACCGAGGCCCCCGACGCTCGGAGGTCGCATGAGGGAATCGGGCATCCAAGCCGCGGAGGCGATCATCGCAGGGGGCGCTGCGGGCGCTGCGGCGGCGACCCGAAGCGTCGCCGAGAACCAGACCTTCAACGTTTTGAGGGGCGGAGGAGATTGGCTGGACCGCACGCTGCGGATCCCGAGGAGGCCGCCCGGATTGGGCCCGCCGCCAGACGAAGTGCCCCCGCCGCAAATCATCGGCAGACCCTCCGAAGTGGAGCCCTTGCTGGAGCGAGCCGGCCAGAGAGCCGCGGAGGTGGAGCGAGCGGCCGCTCAAGACATCCAGCAGTTCGCCGCACAGCAGCTGGCGGAGGCGGAAGCTTCAGAAGGCTTTGCCACGGCGGCGGAGGCTGCAGCGGCAGGGGCCGAAGCGGCAACTGCGGCGGAAGCGGGTGGAGGAGCTTTGGCATTGCTCGGCGAGGGAGCCCTCGCAGCTGCGGGGACGGTGGGCGCTGCGGCGGGAGGCTTGGCCGTTGCAGGCGCAGGCGCTGCTATCGTGGGAACTGCTTGGGCGATTCAGGGAGCCGCCAACATGGCGGGCTTCATGATGGACAATGCTGGAGGCGGCACGGACTCCGATGCCTCGCGGCCCAGCATGACGACGGATGTGCAGACCTCGCGGCCCAGCATGACGACGGATGTGCAGACGCTGAATGGGATGCAAGAGTCGGGCGCCGTGGACCACTTCCAGGTTCAGGAGATGCGCCGCCAGCAGCAGCGCCCGCAAGTCTTCAGGATCGACACGTCGGAGGACCAGCCCCAGCCGCAGGCACAGCCGCAGCAACGCATCGTGGCCCGCCCAGCGCGGCGGCCGAGGGCGCAGCCGATGCCCTTCGGCTTGAACAACGCTCCCATCCCGGTCTCTTCTGACAGCGACCGCTCCCGCATCAGCCGCCAGTCCCGCTCGGACCGCGGGCCCCTCGGCACCCAGCCGTCGTTCGACCAGTTGAGAAACGAACCGGAACTTGCATAGGTATAGTAAAGGGTCATGGAGAACATCTCACAGGGGGTCCAAGATGAGCTGGTGCAAAGCCTTAATTACCGCCTGGCCTCTTCGAACGTCAACTATGTGATGAGCCGCAAGGATATTCAGTATTTTCCTTCGAGTTTGTCGACGTTCAGTCCCACCGCGTCCAGAGTGGCAAGGATACCGCTTACGAGCGGTCGTTCGTTCATACATCCTGAGAGCGTCAAGATCGCTTTCCGGGTGCGCAACAACTCGACCACCCTAGGCCTGAACCCCGGCACGCAGGAGCCCTCGTGCTTCATTAAGCGGGTCCAGCTCTACGCCAACGGCCAGCGCTGCGACGACATCTCCGAATACGGGCGCTGCTGCTACCTGTACTCGCTGCTGAAGCCCGCCGAATGGTATAGGAACAAGGGCATCACGGGCTTCTGGGAGGTCGGCGGCGCGCCGGCACCCATTCCGGCGGAGAGCTTCAAGGACGTCCTGATGGCGCCCACGCTTATCGGTCTCTTCCAGGCGGGCAGGTTTTTGCCTCCTCAATTAAACCTAACATTGGAATTGGAATTTAGTGAGGCCGCCGACGCCCTGCGCCCCGGCGAAGGTTCGACGGATTACACCATCGAAAACGTCCGAGTTCTGGCCAGTCAAGTCGACCTTGATTCGGCGATGTACGACAGCTTCGAAAAAATCATGCTTTCGGGTCGCAGTTTGACGTTCGGGTATCCAACGATGCACACCCAGGTCTCCAGCATCCCCGCCGGCAGCACTTCTTTCAATGTCACAATTGCTCGGGCCTGGACAAAACTATTAGGCTGCTTCGTCACCTTTCGGGACGTCGACGATTTGCAGCTCGGTGAGTGCGCCAACTTCGAGCACCCCGGCGACGGGAACCAGTTCTCGGCGAACCCTCTGGAGTCCCAAATGCAGCTGGGCGCGCTCCAATATCCCCGCTATCCTATGGCCAGCGACGCGGAGGCATTCCACTTCCTCGAGATTTTGGCCGGAACTTACGATTCGACCATAAAGAATGTGAGGATCGCCGACAACCAGTGGAACAACAACCAGTTCATTTGCGCCTTCCCCGTGGAAACGGTCCCGAAGCACCCTCTAAGCGGCATCAGCACGCGCTCCGGCGACCTCGCGAGGTTCACCTTCAAGAACATGCAGCCGGACCGGGTCCAGAGAATATACATACACCAACTCAGTTATCAAATCGTGACGCTTTCGGGGTCGGGGGTGTCGGTATTGGACTGATTTTGAGTGATTCCTGCACCTTTTTTTGCCCTCTTCGAGCACCGCCAGCCGCCAGCCTGGACCGCCGGCGCAGAGCCCGGGCACTAGATAAATCATGAGTCTCTTCCCCTCCACACTCACCGGGCGCATCCTGGACGACGGCGTCACGGAGCCGCCGGTCATCGAGCTGCAAGGCATCTCGGCCGGGCAGCTGGCCACGGTCCTGACGGCCTACACGCCACTCGAGACCACCACACAGCACACCGCCGACATCGGCACCAATGCCGCCGCCATCGCGGCGCTGCAGGGCCAGGTCGCCGCCCTCCCGGCCGCACCCGATCTCGCGCCCTACGCGCTGGCCTCGGATTTGGCGGCCCTCGAGGGCTCGATCCTCGCGAACACTTTCGGCCTCGTGGCCGTGAACACCAGCCTCACCGCGGGCCTGGCCACTAAGGCCAACCAGTCGGCACTGGACGCCCTGCAGGTCGAGGTCAACGGCAAGAGCACGCCCGCCTCGGTGGACCTCAAGCTCGCGAACCACCCGACCACGGCGGCCATGAACAGCAGCATCGCCTCCGCGAACAACGCGACGCTCGCCAGCATCGCGACCACCTACGCGCTGAAGAGCGTCGTGGACCAGCTGGCGCTGGACGTGGCGGCCCGCCAAACGGCAGGCGACGTCACCCAGGCCATCGTCACGGCGCTTCTCCCCATGGCGAGCACCAGCGACCTCACGGCCGCCGTGGCCCTCCGCACCACCCCCGCGGACGTCAGCCAGCTCATCGCGACGGCGCTGCTCCCCTACGTGCAGCAGACGGCGGTGGACGCCGCCCTGGCCCTCAGGGACGCCCGCCTGGACGGGCACGACGCGGAGATCCTGGCGCTCCAGGGCCAGGGGCCCTTCGCCACTCCCCGGGACCTGACCTCCCTGCAGGTCTCGCTCCAGTCCGCCATCGACGGCATCCTCGGTGGCGCCACCAACCTAGTCAACGCCCCCGCCTGGCCCTCGAACATCACTTGGGACCTCCTCGCCGGAACTAACACGGTCCGCAACTTGCACGCCGTGGCTCCCCTGAGCATCCAGCTCGAGAACGAGAACTGGACCGTGTCCTTCGCCTGCGACGCGTACAGCAAGGCGGAGACGGACGCCCTGCTGGCGCCGCTGGCCAGCGAGGTCTGGGTCAGCAACGAGATCCTGGCCGCCCTGGCCGCCTACAGCACCACGGTGCAAGTCGGCACGGCGATCTCCGATGCCCTGGGAGCCTACAGCAGCACCGCGGAGATGAACACGGCCATCTCCGACGCCATCGACGCCCTGAACGTGGGCCAGTACCAGGACGCCGCGGGGGTGCAGTTCCTGATCGACCAGGCCCTGCTGGCCTACTGGACACAGGCCCTCTCGAGCTACGACGACTCCAGTCAAGTCGACAGCAAGATCATCACGGCCCTGCTGGACTTCTACACGCGAGCCGAAACGGACCAGGCCATCGCCGACGCCGTGACCGGCGGCACGGACCTCTCGAACTACTACACCATCTCCGAGACGCAGGGCTACGTGGCCAACGAGCTCCTCGCCTACTACCCGCGCACGGAGCTGGACTCGCAGCTCACGGCCACTTTCACGCAGTACTGGACGTCGGGGCGCACCCAGACGGAGATCGACGACGCCATCGCCGGCTTGCTGGACCAGACGGCGGGGGACGCCCGCTACTTCGTGCGTGCTCCCGGCGCCGAGTCGGGGCAGATCTTCAATCTCGTGCAGGAGCAGTTCACGCCTCGCATCGTGCGCAATTTGCTCCTCGAGGCGCCGCTGGTGGGCGACGCTATCCTGGGGAACCAGTCCACCCTGCGCATCCGGAGCGACTCCTGGTTCAAGGCGGAGGCGGACAGCCGCTTCCTGCGGACGAATGACCTGGGCCCCCTCGATGCCCGCTACTTAGCTACTTCGTCACCACTCCCGGCGCCGAGGGAGGAGGTATCTTCAACTTGGCGCAAACTCAATTTGTGCCAAACATAATCAGGAACATCCTGTGCCAAACGCCCCTGTCCTGCCAGCCGATCTTGGGCAACGGCAGCACACCGCCTTCGTGCAGACGCCCCTGCTGCAGAGCGCCGCGGCGGACCTGCAGATCCGGAACGGCACCACCACCATCCGCGCCGGAGACGGCACGCTGCTGGCCTCCTTCGCCGCCGGCAACATCGGTCTGGAGCAAGACATCACCGTGCGCTCGGACCGCACACTGAACGCCACCACGGCGGACGTCGCCCAGTTCTTCGTGGGCTCCACGGCGGCCACGGGGACCTTCGCGAGCAGCAGCTCCGTGACGGCCACGCTCGAGATCGAGAGCGACCTGCGGGTCCAGGCGCCCCTGGTGCGCTGCGATCCCGCGGCCTCGGTGCTCACCATCCAGGGCGGCACCAACGGGGTGCTGGTGGACGACACCCTGCGGATCAACGGGGCCCTGGCCCCCGAGGCCTCGCTGCCCTTCCTGTCCCTCTCGGGCGGCAGCAGCGGCGTGCAGGTGCTCAGCCGGGTGCTGGAGCAGATCGCCGTGGGACCCACGGACGGCTCCGTGGGCAACGCCGCCGCGACGGGGGAGGCGGCGCTGCTGCTGGACGCCAACAACCAGGCCGGCGTGGCGGAGCTCAAGGTGCGGGCGGGCGGCAACTGCGAGCTGAACGCTCAGTTCCAGTTCATCAGCTTCAACACGACCAACGGCCTGGCGAATATGGCCATCGAGCCTAACATCGGGGGATCGAATGACGGTGAGGTGATCTTCGGCTACGGCTTCGTGAACCTATCCGATCGGCTGCTCAAGGAGAACGTCCGGGCCATCCCGGAGGAGGAGCTGCAGCAGACCTTCGACGCCGTGGAGCCGCAGCTCTACGACCGCATCGACGGCGGCAAGGAGCAGATCGGCTTCGTGGCCCAGGACGTGCAGGCCAGCGGGAAGCTGGGGGAGAGCATGTGCAAGACGAAGAACCTGGACGGGAGGGAGCTCATGGCCCTCGACTACCAAAAGCTTTCCGTGGTGCTCTGGGGCGTGGTGAAGAAGCTGCAGAAGCGGGTGGAGAAGCTGGAGAAGAAGAAGGGCCGCCAGGGTGACTCGGACTGATGTTGCATCGTGAATAAACATGTCTTGCAAAGAAGACGACGCCGAGCTCAACTTTGCATGCGAGGCTGTCATGAGTCGTGCATCCGAACATAACTTGGTCGCACTGCTCGACAAATGGTCAACACGCTGGAAGCATCGTGGCCGCACTCGAGCCATCGGTCCGCATGCTTATGAAAAATACAGCACTCTCGGCTTCTTTGGACACGGCGGTGTCTTTGGCATTTCGAGAGCTTCTCAAATGAAAAAAGCGTGCATCGCCGTCAACCATTTTCTCAGAGAGCGCTTTCCGAATAAAACGTGGGCTTCCATCGCCGTGCTGTACAATCCGTCGATGCCATTGCATCGAGACATCCTGAACATGATTGGACATGCAAACCACGCTATCACTTTGGGTAATTTCATGGAAGGTCGAGTCTGGATCGAAGATGAAAAAGGACAAGCAACTGCATTGCTGGAAACGAAAAGTGGTCAGAAGCTGCTACGCGGAACGTGGGTTGACATGCATGACAAAGCCGTTTCGTTCAATGCTCGGAAATATCACATGCTTGAAAGGCATCGCGGAAACATGTGGGCTCTTGCCGCATACACGCCTCAAGCATACAAACATGCTCATAAATCTCACGTCGCTGAACTAAATGAACTTGGCTTTCCCGTTCCGCCGCTCTAACAATTTTGCAGTCTTGCGTTGACCGCGTAGTGACCGCGAAGTAACCGCGTAGTGACCGCGTAGTGACCGCGTTGTGACCGCGTTGTGACCGTGTTGTGACCGTGTTGTGACCGTGTGTTGTGACCGCGTAGTGACCGCGTTGTGACCGTGTTGTGTCCGCGCAATGCCACGTAGAGACTCGGACATAGACTCAGTCTTTGCAGAGTCTTTTATGGTGAAGACTGCAGTCTCTCATGGTGAAGACTGTAGTCTCTCATGCTGAAGACTGCAGTCTTTATGAGTCTTTTATCCATATTGGAGCATTATCTTGGCATGATTGCGATAATATTGAATCATGTTGTAACAATCTTGAGTCATTAAAGAGTCAATTTTGAATCGTTTTTGGATCGAAGTGGCTGCTTTGGAGAGAAGTTGAGCTATTTTTCAGCCTCGAACATGCAGCTGTTATTTCTCGAAGATCGAAGAGGCTGCTTTGGAGCGAAGTTGAGCTATTTCGGCAGAGAACATGCAGCTGTTATTTTCTCGAAGATCGAAGAGGCTGCTTTGAAGCGAAGTAAGCTATTTTCAGCAGAGAACATGCAGCTGTTTTTTTTCTCTCAGATCGAAGAGGCTGCTTTGAAGCGAAGTTAAGCTATTTTTCAGCCTCGACATGCAGCTGTTTTTCTCGAAGATCGAAGAGGCTGCTTTGGAGCGAAGTTGAGCTATTTTTCAGCAGAGAACATGCAGCTGTTTTTTCTTTAAGATCGAAAAGGCTGCTTTGAAGCGAAGTTAAGCTTTTTTCAGCAAGAACATGCAGCTGTTTTTCTCTAAGGTCGAAGAGGCCGTTTTGGAGCGAAGTTGAGCTATTTTTCAACCTCACGCTTTGGAGCAAAACTAAGCGATTTTCAACCTCGATTTTTTCTATCTGGCGAAAAAGCTGCTTTTGGAGCGATTTTTGACTTATTTTGTTTTGCATCCTTCGGCCAGAACCAAGGTATCACTCGACAGTACTCGTTGTCAAGGACAGACAACCGACCCGCATTGGCAAAGGACCTGTGCCCTTTTGGCTCAAGGCCGCGTCTGCTCGAGGTGGTTAAGCCACCAGGGAAGCCGTCGGAGGGTGGAAGTCCGTTGCTTTGCTTGGAACCCTACTCGAGATAGTTGCCCCTCTGGGATGGCCTGGAGGCGTAGGTGAGCTTGGTGCTGTCCCTTCTAGTTTCCCAGTGTGTGAAGCATAGGCACGAGGACATGTCAGGCAGTGCAGATTTCTTTTGGCTTGGTGAGATCTTGTTTTTGAGTGGGAAGAACGTTTTCTATTCGTCTTCTCGAAGCTCGTTTGTCGGAACTCGTTTTCCTGTTTGTGACCTGGTATTTGGTGACCAGAAGTGACTCAAGCCAGTTTAGATCTGCACAGAGCTCAGCAGAGCACCTAAGAGGTGCTGGGAACCTCCCACAGTGAGTAGAATTCCATGGCTGAGTGTTCACCTGAAGTACCTTTGTTTTCCCATGTCTGGCAGACAGTGTTTGAAGCTGGAGAGCCGTGCTCGCATTGGCTCGACGAGCGGAGCTCGAGAGACTGTGAACAGCGCAGTGAAAAGAGTCCGCACTTCGTGCTGTGAGGGTTGAGTGTAGTCTTGACCTGAGGTCCCTTAGGCGCCCGTAGCTGTGCCACGAGTTTCAACGTGGTAGCGGAGCTTCGTGCTTCCATGCTGGACACTGGTGAAGAAACGTGTGCCTGGAGACCGTTCTCCGAGAGGCCGCAATGCAAGCAGCCTGAGTTCCAGGGCTTTCTGGTGCAAGGTCACCAAGTGCCCGTGGGAGAAGAGAACGTGGAAGGTCTTTGCCAGCGCGACCAGCTTCAGTTCCAGTTGATATATGTGACCCTCCTAGTTTCCCAGTTGACACGTGATTGTGCACTTGAGTTGTCTGCTATGTGAAGCATAGGCACGAGGACATGTCAGGCAGTGCAGATTTATTTTGGCTTGGTGAGACCTTGTTTTGAGTGGGAAGCGTTTTCTGTTCGTCTTCTCAAAACTCGTTTGTCGGAACGTTTCCTGTTTGTGACCTGGTATTTGGTGACCAGAAGTGACTCAAGCCAGTTTAGGTCTGCACAGAGCTCAGCAGAGCACCTAAGAGGTGCTAGGAACCTACCCACAGTGTTTAGGAGTAGAAGTTCCATGGCTGAGTGTTTTCACCTGAAGTACCTTTGTTTTCCCATGTCTGGCAGACAGTGTTTGAAGCTGGAGAGCCGTGCTCGCATTGGCTCAAGACGAGCGGAGCTCGAGAAGCTGTGAACAGCGCAGTGAAAAGAGTCCGCACTTCGTGCTGTGAGGGTTGAGTGTAGTCTTGACCTGAGGTCCCTTAGGCCCCGTAGCTGTGCCACGAGTTTCAACGTGGTAGCGGAGCTTCGTGCTCCAGCATGGACACTGGTGAAGAACGTGTGCCTGGACGAGACCGTTCTCCGAGAGGCCGCAGTGCAAGCAGCCTGAGTTCCACAGGGCTTTCTGGTGCAAGGTCACCAAGTGCCCGTGGGAGAAGAGAACGTGGAAGGTCTTTGCCAGCGCGACCAGCTTCAGTTCCACGCGGAGTAGACCCAAGGCAGTGGACAGCTACGACTGGAGCAGGCCATCAGCCACCAGTCGGGGCTGTGCCTTCGTTTGGACCTCAGTTCTACCAGATGGGAACACCCCCTCAGACAGCACCACAAGAACCCCTTCAAGTTCCGAATATGCAGTTGCCCGTTGCACCTGGAGTAGCTCAACAGATGGAGTTCACGAGAGCAATGCTGCAAGCGCAGGACGAGCAGATCCGACAGCAGGCAGCTCAACTTCAACAGATGAGTGCCATGCTTACGCAAGCATTGCAGCTTGCAAGTGCGAATGCTGCCAATGCGCATATTGCAGCAGCTGCAGCTTCATCGTCGACGAGTCCTACACCTGGAGGAGACCCCTCAGCAGCACCTGCGAATGCATCGACTCCTGTGGACATGGAAGTAGACTCTGGTGTACGAAACAAGAGAGCAGAGGGTTACATTCCACAGTTGCCTCAGCTGAACTATGCGTCTATGACGAGCAGACATGCTGAAATCCGAGTTTGGACAGCCTACAGAGACGAACTTACGAGTTGGCTTTGTTTGCTCGACGACCGCTACGCTACGGAATTGCAAGAAGCGATCAGTAGCAATGTGGAAGTCTTGCAAGTGAGGCTTGAAGCCGGGAAAGCAGCCCGGTCAACCAAACTTTGGTTTTTGCTTCGTCAGTCCATGAGCAAGTTCCAACGTGGGCAAGATTTGGTGCATCTCATCGAGGTGAAACAAATGGGAGCAAGTGCCGGATACGAACTCTGGCGCTCGTTGAACAACGAATTGTCAGTTCGCTCCAGAGTGGAGGGACAGGCCCTCCGCGAACAGGCGTTAGGCCTGGTGCCACCAAAGCATCTCAAGCGACCACTTGATGTCGCCAGGTGGTACACCACCGAGCTTCTCAAGTTCGAGGCGCAGGTGAAGCATCGCTTCCCGGAGTTGCTCATCGGAGAACAAGAGGGAGTCCTGTGCCTGATGAAGCACTTGGATTCTGAGACCAAGAGATATCTGCTCCTCCATCACTCAACAAAGAGCATGGGTGAGCTGATGACTGGTTTGCAGTTTTACGACGAGCAGCTTCGTGTGATGGACTTCCAGAGAGAAGGAGCATCCGGGTATGCGAATGCCTTCAAGGGTGGCAGAGGCGGAAAGGGCGACAGAGACAAGAGCAACAAAGGCCCCAAGGGCAACAAAGGCAACAAAGGCGAGAAAGGAGAAAAGGGACAGAAGGGTGGCAAAGCGAAAGGAAAGGACAAGAAAGGTGACCAAGGCGGAAAAGGAGACAGAGCTCGGAGCAAGAGCAGAGAAGCGAAGAAGACAGATGTCTGCCGGAACTGCGGGAAGACTGGGCACTGGGCACGCGACTGCTGGGCACCTCCGAAGGACAAAGCCGCAGCGGCGACGAGCCAGGCCGTTACGACGCAGCCAGAGGCACCATCGTCTTCATCGTCTACATCGGCGAAAGCAGCAGCGCAGCCCACAACCAAAGGCAGTGGAAAAGCACAGTCATCAATCAAGACGTTTCTGGAAGGATATCACTTCGGTATGATGCTCACGAACCAGGTGGTTAGTTTTCCTTCAGATGATCGCGTTTACTGGTTGATTGACTCTGGTAGTTCGTTCCACATCATCACGAGAGAGACGCTTGAGAGCAACCACGTGAAGATCCTGAGTTGGTTGGAAGGACGCCCTAAGTCATATGCGGAGACTGCGACTGGAGATTCCGTTGAAATTGGCGGATCAACACATGTTTTAGTGGAAGTTTGCTTTGAA